ATGGTGGGCCGCGACGCATCCCAGCAACCGCATCTTATCTGCTCATCCACTCGTCCCCAACAGTTCTAAAAAAAAGAAAAAAACTCACCTCACCGTAGCGCCGTGACAGCTCTCCATGACCGCGGCTCCGTAGTGCTGCCTTGGCTACGGCACTCTCCACCGCGCCTCCCTCTCCATCGCGCTCGGCTCTGCCGGCTGGCATCTCCTCCGCGCCAGAACACAGCAACACGTCTTCCTCCCTCTCCACCACGTCGGCCTCCTGCCCGCCGCGGGCTTCTCCAGCGCACGGACCCACCGTGGCCTTCTCCACGGACCTGCCGCTGAGCAGCGAGCTCCGCGCCACTGGCAAGCTCTACATTAGTGAATTCCACACGCTGACGAGCCTCTATTCCAAAGCAGCAAGGAGATGTTGAACTGAAAGCGGATGTTGCAAACGTATGTCTCAAGTGTTTCTGATGTTTTACAGGTACGTTGTAAGTGTTTTATATGGATGTTGCAAAGTAGATCGGGATGTTGCATATGCTGCAAGTGTTTCAGAGGCATGTGTTTCATCTATTTCTGACGTATGTTGCAAGCGTTTTGATCTGGATGTTGCATATGTTTCACACATATGTTGCAAGAGTATGTTCCAAATATTTCATCTGTTTCATTCTTATGTTGTAGTAAGTATTTTCATGTTGCAAGTGTTTTATCTGAATTTTGCATATGATTCACACATATGTTGCAAGTGTATGTTTCAAATGTTTCATTTGCTTAAGATTTAAGTTGCATTCAAGTGTTCATGTTGCAAGTGTTTCGTGTTTCAGAGGTATGTTCAAAGAGTCATGGGAGCACGACCCAGCAGATGGCGCGCACGACGCGCTTGGGGTCCTACGGACAGGGCCTGCTTGTCCTCATCCGGGCTCCGGGGTCCCGCCCGCGCCGAGAGAGGAGGGGGTCTGGGGGGAAGGAGTGGCAGCCGCAGCCGCGGTGTGCGTGTGAGGCAGACGGGAGCAGGGTATGCGTGCTGGGCGGAGCGAGGCAGACGGGGGATGGACGTGCGCATGCAACAGTGATATGGCGCAGCGGCAGGCGTGGGCGGGTGGGCTGGGGCAGCAGCATATGCGGGGCGCTTGGACACGCTCATCTGCCCCTGACGTTCGAGCGCTAGTAAATCCCACCCTTTATGATGGACCTATCACTACTACAACACGGGGATATAGTAACACCAACTTGTGTTACTATAGGTTGAAAAAAGTGTTACTAGCTCTCTTAGTAACATATTTTTTTATGTGTTCCAATTGACCATGTTACTATAGACTGATCTATTGTAACACGGAATATGTGTTCTTTTATATATAGAAAAGTGTTACTATGTTGTAACACATTTATATATCTATTAGAACATTTGTCTAGTGTTACAGTGATTCTCTATTGTAACACTTTTTCTAGCTATAGTAACACTTCCATAATGTGATGGAGTACATAGTTTGTAACACATATCTATTATAACATTGTCTAGTGTTACAATGATTTCCTTTTGTAACAATTTTTTAGTGTTGTAGTAACACTTCCACATTGTAGTAGAGTATATAGTGTGGAATGGAGTAACACATGGTTTACAACACATGTTTTACCTATTGTAACACATTCAACTTTTTAAATAAAATATTTATATTACCCTTACATGTGGACTACACATTGCAGAATCACACAAATATGACACATTATAGAATCTTATGAGCCGCAAATTTCAATAACCATAGCAAGATCCACAAATTATTTGAAGATTTCAACGTAATACTTGTTCAAATCAAGTGACAGTATAGGTACATAACGATGTGGCTCTAGCTTCATAGCAACTACATATAGTATTGAAGAGTACAAGCCCATACTACTAGAAATGAAAGTGTGATATCTAGTGTTCTTAAATTCCATTGCTTCTTCATCCATTTTTGCACAATTCAATATAAGAATTCAGCCATTAATCATTTCAACCTGCAAAGAGAAAGTTATAACATTAAATATTATTCTATCTATGTTAGTTGATGTAAACTTAAAAGCTAGTACGAACATACAAATGTCAAGTCCGAACAATTGTTACCGCCTTTGGTAAGGGCATCACCCCAATGTTATTGTACCCAGGATGATTGATATCCACTTTGTAGAATTGATTTTGTCTCAACTCCATCAAAACATGTTTTTGGATTAGTGCTCAAAAGACCTTATTTGGATATTTTGTAGTCATGAGTACCACTGTGGACCGAACCTATATTAGTTTGACATATCACTTAGCGACCAACAAACATCATTTGTTTATCAAGAAAATGTAGTTAAGATAAGTGATATTTTGTTCACCTGCCTTCATTGGAGGAGGTTGCTCATGTTTCGGACTCTTGTGGCATGTAGCCTTGTCATGAGCTACCTCTTATTGTGCAATGGTAGTCTCTCCAAGCACTCCATGATGATCCTTACATATGAAACAATATAAAACAAACATTTTACTATAATAAATATGAAAATATGGTTCTTATATTTTGTACCTTTATTATTCTACCTCTATAGAATTCCTTGGGCAAGAATTAAATTGAAAGGAAGAGAATGGTAATTGCAATTATACAGTGTTATAATGTTATTCATCTTTAATAAATTAACATTATAAGTCTAATATATCATATTCAATGGTTCAATGAAACGATGTACCGCTATTTGTCTAGAATCATTAGCAGAGCATTATGGGGACATTGTTTCTACTTCTAGAATTAGTAATTCCTTGTCATTAGTGTCACCTTAGCATTAGTTCCAATACAAATTCTTGTAAATCATAATCACTAGGCAAAAATATTGACATATAAACAAACTAAGAGTATATTATTCTTGAATACAACAAACCAGTTGATAACCTTTTTATTAGAAAAATAGATCATCATCGTCACTATATGTAGACTCACATGGTTTTGTTCTAGTAAAGAGGAGAAATGAAAATAGCATGAATTATTATAAAAAAAAGCCTTTGTAAATAAAGAAGTATTTCACGAACAAGAGATTTTACCAATTGATCATTCTGTTTAAGGAATCCATCTTTCTGATTTGGTGCAACACATTGAACTCTCTAAAAAATCTAAACAATATTAAAGCCAATAGGGACTAAATTATGTGAGAATATGCTAAATAAAGCAAATACCTTTTTTATAAGCATTGCTTGCTTCTTTGAATTACCATGACCACTTCCGCTACACCAATGTCCTAGAAAAGATATAGAGTAACATTTCAATATAGAGTTACAACACAAAAAAGAAATACTACTACATCAAACTGACACTTAATAGTTCCTAGATCTCTACCAGATGACCATTATTAGGATTCTAATATTTATATATTTTTTCGTGATTCCCTAGTTCTGGGATAGATGGTCGTCAATTAAATGTTAAGAAGTGTAAAACTAAATTAATTCATATAAAGCACATTGCATCCAAAGTACTGACACTACTTCCATGGTGTTGCTTGCTAAAAATCTATTTCACTAATTGACAAGTTGGTCATGAGAATGGAAACTTCATAAAATGGCACTTGAGTGACAGAAAAACATATTCACATAACTTTGAATAAATGAACATATGAATAGAAATTGAACATATATGCCCAATATACATAGAGCAAACTACTGTTGTTTTGTTTGGTCATCTAGTGGGATTGTTTTAGTCATCAATCACATTGCCCTACTGATTCTGATTTCTGAATGAAGATGTTAGTTGACTGATTACAAGGAAAAATATGAGAGCAATGGCATTGCTACGAATAAGAAGCATCACAATTTCATTGGTCTAATCGGGTTTAAAAAGATGTGGTTGCAGTTATACAGTAGTTTCATAGATGAGCACCACATTGCAATTCAGACAGTTGTATAGAAAGTGCATACTAGTTATACAGTAGTTTCACAGATGAGCACCACATTGCAATTCAGACAGTTATACAGTAGTTTGATAGATGATCACCACATTGCAATTCAGACAGTTGTATAGAAAGTGCATACTAGTTAATTTACAGAGAAGAAAAACATTTGAAGTAATAACTCTTGAATTCCATGAAAACAAAGATACCAAACAACAGAAAAAGGAGCACACTGCAGTTTGTACCTTTCATAGCTATTGAGTATGCCATAGTGTTGCACTTCTGCATGCAAGAAATATGACAATAATTCAGTCAAAACATAATTTCACACTTCAGAAATTGATGGTCACTTGAAGTTGAATCATCCATTCATCCCCCAAATCCAACAAATTGAATGGCAATAAGCACAGATTAAGCAATTCACAAATAATCTTACTAATAAGAGATCTAGTTAAACATGTGAAAATAATTATCAAGCTCACTATATCAAAAGCATGCAAGATGAAAATCTGCATTAATCAAGGTGAAAAGTACTTAGCTATTGTGCTGCCACACTGCACGACCTTTTGCCAACCTGAAAGCACAGCCATGAACTGGATATACTACTGCTGAACTGCTCATTGACCACAAGCAAGCCACAAGGAATAAGTTAAAATAATTAAGTACACAAAGAAGGCCGTGATTACTTCCCTGCTGCAAAATGTCTCACTCCAACATGTCAAGCACCAAATCAAAAGGCAAATGTTAGCTTGATGCTGCTACAATAGCATGACAATGGAGTAGTTGAAAACATACTGTACTCATAACTTATAGCTACTTTAACAAATTTTCAGATCAGTACAACAGTACCTTATCGATACCTGAACATATAGTAGCACATGAATACATAATAGATAATAATACAAAACAATTGACAAGTGATGTCTAATTATCATTGGTCATCACAACATGAGACTACAGACCAAAGAGGCACTGTCACTTAGTTCATAAGTAAAAACACTTGTTCTCACAGGTAAATGATATCAAGACACCTAGTTCTCAATTCTGAATTCTCACAGCAACAACAAAGACAATTAAACTCAAAACTCATAGGCAACATAATACATGAAGATTAGCCAGCCATGCAAATTTTAGCAGCCCAGCATGTAGTTGTGAATGACTCCATACTTGCACCGAATATCACTAGAATTCCTCTTTAGGTTCATGGGTTTGCTAGTGGAAACAAAAGGATTCGATGCGGCAGATGACATCCTGCAATTGCAAATTTTCAGAAAGTGCTTACAAATCAGAATTTGTATACAAATCACGAACTAAAATTACATGAAAAACATTTTTTATACAATTTCCATGCGAACGTTGGGATAGAAATTCACAAATCACATCTACTCTATGTATGCGAGCTGGTATTTTGAGATTGACGATGCTAGTGTAGACATATATATTTCTATTTCTAGTGAGCATTTGCTGTTTTTGGACAAACGAGCTGTTGTTTTTCAAGTACAGGATAGGCAACAATTTACATTAGCAAAGCTACTGAGCACAACACCGAACATGGACTAAGTAGTAATACACAGGTAGTGCACACAGAACATTAAAGAAACAACGGAATTTACAATACCACCTAAATCATAGCAGTTGCACTGCGCTTTTGTAACAGCGGAGGGATTTGGGGGAAGTGAGTTAGAAAACTTATCTGCTAGTTTTGGATCGGTAATCCGGGTGAAGGACACCTAGAAGGACAGCACAGGAGACGGTGGCGGGGCAGAGGATCTGGAGCTGTTTTGATAGCGCCAGGAGATTAATCTAAAAACCAAAAAGTTCCTTAGAAGCCACATGGGCCCAATTTTTCCTGCACGTATTTTTTTCCTGAAACATGCAAATCAGAAGATAGCAGTATATGAACAGAGGAGCAACTGCATTCTATAGTGCTAATCCTAACCTATTCATCCTAGGGTCTGTAGATGAACCGAGAAGGAACGCTATCAGCACACCTGAGCACCTTCTCTAGGTCGAACTGCAACAGGTGGTCCTCCATGCCCCCCCCACTGAAGACCGCCACACCATCGGCGCCGGCCCTGGGGAGGTAGAGTAGGAACCTGAGTACCTGACGTCAAAGACTAATGGTATGCAGATGCAGCAGCGCGGATCTGAAAAACCATAGGACCTTGTTGTAGTTCGCCGTGACACCGTCCACCATCCGCGAGCTCGAGAACGATTCCATCGTCCACCTACTCTGATCCATGGCTGCCCCAATCGGAGGGAGACCGAACCCACCGGTCATGGCCGGATCTGGCGTGGACCGGGTCCGCTCGTCGACGACGAGAGGTGTGGAGGATTAGGGGTGAGCGGCACGTGACGTGTCGTACCGTTGGAGGAAGGCAGGGAGGAGTTGGATCCGCAGGATTAGGGAGGCTGCCCCGGCGTGGATTCGGCAGGGTCTCTGGAGGAGCTTGTGTCGGCGGTGTCGGCACGGCGGGCACACGGCGGACGGCCATTGGGGAGGGGCTCTGGACGGGAACGTGGATGCCAGAGGTAGACCGTGGCCGTGGGGAGGTCTCGGGCTCTCGAGGGTTGGGGTGGGGGAGAGGGCAGCGTTTTTTTTCCGACTGAGAGGGCGGCGGTTCAGGAGAGGGTGGCGGCGTGGGTGTGGAGATTGGAGAGAGAGAAGGCTACGTGGAGGTCATTTTAAATTTTCGCTGCAACCAGGGGCGAGAGTTACCCGCCAGTTCAACTTTTAAATGATTTTTTTCGCAGACATATAATCAAACTATAAAAAAGTGTATTATTATTTAGAATAATACATAGGTAAACATACATTAGAGTTTTTAGGTAAATGTTTGGTACATATCATCTACAGACCAAAATCTATGACAAAAAAATCAATGCGACTTATAATTTAAAATGGATGGAGTATTTGTTTACCATATAATTAGAAGAATAAACAAAGATGTGGTAAGATTAATTCTTGATAATAAGAATGTATTTTTGGTTTTTGAACATGCATATGGAATTAATAACTAGCCAACTATAGGTAATTGTCTCTAGTTTTTTCTCAGGATGTTGAAGATATACGAATGTACTGATATGTAGTAATGTTTATCTACACCACATGCAATTTTTAGGAAGTATTCTCGGTAAAAGGCTTGAAATATTTTAAACCCTAAGGAAGGAAAGAGTTATGACTAAATTGTTCTTAGACAAGCATAACAAATTGTGAGATCGTTAGATAATCATAAACCTACCGATATTGAAAGAGTCATGACCAGTAAAAGTAAAACTCGAGAATGATGAAGTCACCACATGTGCATCGCTGTCGACGGGAACATTGCGACCCATTGACAAAGTCACGACAACTTTTACAAAACTCACAGCTAACAACTAAACCAAATAGCCCCGTGAGACAATTGAAACTACCAAGTACAATAAACAAGAATTAAGAATCTGGGTCCAATCACTCTCCCGTGTGTGGTGGGTCCAACATCACAAACAATTGTGTTTTTTTTCAAGTGCCACACGTCATCCATCCATGAGGGGTCCAATGAACACGAACTTTATACCAAAGTTGTAGTGCGAGCTCAAACTTTTTGACTTGAGATCATTTTGATGCCTAAATAGCCATCACAAGATTTTATGGAGTTCATACCAAAGGAATCCATATGTTATATAGTCACAAGTGAGTGTGTAGTACTAGAGAGTGATCTCCGATGGTGAAACAATCAAAACAAAATGTTCTAGATCTCGATAAGTTATGAATTTTTGTAATTCACAATTTTGTTTGAAGTCGCTTTGATGCCGAAATATTTGACTCACAAGATTTTATAGAGTTCATACCAAAGGAACTCCTATGCTCTATAGTCACAAGTGTGTGTGTGCAGACATAGTTAATGATCTCGGATGGAGGAGCGACCAAAGCAAAAGTTGTGGATCTAAAAAACATATGCATATTTATAGTTGACAACTTTTGCATTTGAAATCATCTATCCAACGAAAATTACGTTTGAATTTTCATATTTAAAATTTGATTTTTTCAAATGACCTCGGATGGAGAAATGACCAAAACAAAGCTTGTAGATGTCGAAAAGTTATGCACCTTTTTAGTTCACAACTTTTTCATTTGAAATTATCTATCCAAGGAAAACTACACCCGAATTTCCTCACATTTGAAATTCAAATTCTTCAAACGACTTCGGATGGATAAATGATCAAAACCAAAGTTGTAGATCTCGAAAAGTCATAAACTTTGTAGTTGACAAATTTTTCATTTGATTTCGTTTAGGATTGCAAATGCTCATTTAAAACCAAATAAATATAAAATGGGGAGGACGAATATCTAAAATGGATACAATTTTCTTATAGGTGGAGTGGTTAGGAGATGAATATGCAAACCTTGAGGTTATGGGTTCAAACACTAGTGGCCACAAAAATATGCATTTTTTGCGTGGCACGCCTAAGCCTCGCTAGAAATCGATTCGATTCTTTTGAAACTCCTACATAACAAAAATATATATAGGCTATTACATATAAAAAAACTTTGGCACTTGTAACTATTTTTAGGATTTGGCCTTCTCTATCCAATCGAAAATAAAAAATATAATCAAATCATTCACCTTGATGGCATACCACGCAAATGCAAAGTGATGTGATAAACACAAAAAAACATCTCCCACTATATAAGTGAACAAAATAGTAAAGAGTGATTTTATACAACACTAGAAAAAATCATTCAATTTGATTAGTTTAGCCAAAAAAAATGAATGTCACGAATAGATAGCCAATATTCAACCAGAGCTGATATGTTTGTCTGCCATGGTAAATTTTAAGTAAAAGATCAAATGTTTGCAAACTTCACAATCTAATTATCTTGGTCACCTAACTATTTTTTACTTTTAATAATATATAGACATATCATATGAGCTTATAAATAAAAAATTTGGCACTTGTAGCTGTTTTTGGGACTCAGCGGCAAAATAGGCGTCAACAAATCCGAACTTTTGGTGCTTGGCGGCCAAACTCGCGCCACGGCCCCGCTTTTTTTTTGTGCTCGTACCACTCCCGGTACACAATCTATCCTATCAGATCTGCCTGTCTCCTATCAAAAAAAAAAAAAAAGACCTGCCAGCTGTCACCATTCACTCTCCTCTTCCATCTCTCTCCCGCAATCTCTCGTTCTTTCCCGAAAGAAGAAGCTGGCGGCGGTCCTCCTCCGAGCGCACCCCTACGGCCCGGCGGTGGTTCTCCTCCAAGCGCACCCCCACGGACCGGCCGAGCACCACCTCTCCGACCCGGCGGCGCGGCTCTCCATCCCCGACCAGGCGCTGCGCTCTTCGTCCCCGACCCGGCCATCTCGCTCCTCTCCGTGTTCTCCACCGATGGACACAGACCCGGCACCGGCGGAGAGCACAGGGTGGCGCGGCTCGGCAGAGGAGTAAAGTACGCGGGGGCAACCAGCACAGCCGCAAGATGCCGATCTCCTCGCCACTGCCGCCTCCGGCTTCCTCGCCACTGTCACCGTGCCGCTGCCGATTTCCTCCCCACCACCGCCGACTTCCATGGTAAGTAATTGATTCAGTGTGTACAGATGCCTGCAAGTACTCTGTGAAATGAATTCGTAGTTGATTTAGTCTGTGAAATGAATTCGATTGGTAGAGATGCCTGCAAGTAGCCCCAAATCTTGTTCATGGTTCATCTTGGCAGAGCTTCAGGTTTTCAGCATTTGATTTAGTCTGTGAAATTGCAATTGTTTTATAGTGCTATTCTTGCCTGTGTGCAGATTTCTGGGCGTGATTTTGTTTCTGGCCATGATGGAGTCACATGAGCTTTTTTATCTGTATCTAATATGTGATATCTGTGATCTGAACATACACTTTATATGTATTTGGAGACACCTAAACAAAGCAATGAATAAATTTTATATTGTATATGTTTTTGCTCTATTTTTCCATGAACTCGAGGCCAGGATGCTAAATGTGGAAGCATAAAAGGAAAAATTAAGTAGCATCTGAAGGGCGGGCCTGGTGTAAGCGGTAGAGTCTTACCGCCTGTGACTGGAAGGTCCCGGGTTCGAGTCGCGGTCTCCTCGCATTGCACAGGCGAGGTAAGGCTTGCCTGACGACACCTTTCCCAGACCCTCCTGCAGGCAGAGCGCTCTACTCTGCACCGGTGCGCCCCTGAAGACAAGATTGTGTTTTTTATTAGATGATTCTGAAAATAGATTCCATAGTATCAAGGAGGTATTCATGTGAATCTTGGACAGCTGAGCTCCACAGTGCGTTGCTGCACATTTATCTCTGAACAAATCATAAACCTAATTTTGTGTGAAAGATAAGACAGGCTGAAATACATGGATAAAGACATTTGAATAGCTATAAGAAAACTGGGTCATAAAAACCTATCTTAGGGACTACCTAAATATTAGCTGTCATTATTCTTTCTGTGCAGAACTACATGAGGTATGCCTGCTACAATCTGCATCCTAAAGCTCAATGTGGAACACAGTGACGGAAGTAAATATGCACTATCCTTAAGGCACAGAAGCCTCCGATGGAGCCATACGGTATAAGGATCAGTACATATTTAGAGCTTGTTATGAACTTATGATATGATTCACACCCTCCAATTCATAGATACTGTTTGCTGAAAAAACTGAACTTTCTCACAAGGTTCTAGTTTGTTTAACACAACAAATCCCAAACTTTTAGATTGTGGTTGTCATGATAGTATATGAATCAAATGTGATAACTTTCCTCTTTAAAAAGCTGTCACAAAGTAATACTGATCCATGTGTTTATACTGTTTAATGTGGTAGCTGCCCTTAGCTTATTGGTTGCTCCTCAGTTCAATAGAAGCTATCCAGCTATAGTGTAGAAGCGAGTAAATGCTATGAGAATTGGTGTTTATTTCCTAGGAGTTACATTCATTTTAGAAGGATCTGTATGAATACCAAGATTATTCATGGCTGCTGCCATTGATATGCATGGGCCAAAATATTTTCTCTTTATACTGGTCATTGGTTGTAAAAGGTTTTGACAATCAGTATAAGCTTGGGTGCTTTGCTTTGTGCTTGTATTTCTACCAATTTGTTTCCTGCTGCATGCAGTGAGAGTTTGTACGAAGACGAGGAGTTTGTCCAGAGGCAGCTTTTAGCACTAGTTGCCCCTAAGGTGTTTTTCTACTTGGCCGAGCTAAATGGTGCTCTGTTGTATGCACTTGGTGCTGGACCCCTGTTTGATGTTTCTGACGACTCTGATTACGCTCAAACACTGTTAGGTAATCTGCCTGGTGCCTGCATTATGACTAGTTAATTGTTGATAGCACTAAAAGTACTGTGTTAAACATTACCTCCTTTGCCCTGTTTCTTTTTTCAGCAAAAGCTTTGGATGAACATACTGCCATCTAATCAAGGGCCACTGGGGAAGAAAAAACGATGTACAGTGGCTGCAGGCTATTGTGGAAAGGATGCTGGACAAGTATGATAGTTTCCTCATGGTCCATTGTTTCAGGAATGCATCTTTATTGCGTCTATCCTGTAATCTATATTATTTTACCCAACATGGCAAATTCTTGTTAGGGTGTGGAATGCTTCTACATTGTTCCTGCCTAATATGTTATGTGGACCTGATACATGATATCATATACAAGACTTGGAATTCATAACACTGGTGCTAAGGACACTGAAATTTATATTCTAGATGCTATCATAATTACATTGCCTATTATCTACATATATTGAGAAATTTATAATCTGTGTGGGCATATTTGTATCTGGTACAGGCACAGAAGTTATGAGGTACAGTATCTGGTGTTGGAAAGTCTCTGAAGATGCAAAACCCAGGTGTCAAGATCATCTGTATTCAGGTAATACACCATTCAGAAACATCAAATAGGTTAATATATGGTCTTTAGAACTTATAATGTGTTTTATATTGGGATTTATAGCCAGAGAAAAATGTTTCATTGAGTTTATCTATGGTTCCGGGAAAGCTTGTGCGATCAAAGTTGGAAGCTCCTTTACCAGCCATCAAGTTCAGGAGAAGCTCAAGAGCAGCTGCCACTTCCCTTAAATAACATCATTTTTTGACAACACCTTAAATAATATCATTAACCCTGCGGACACATTTGCAAAGTATTGTGACTGTCTATGTATAATATGCTATGTTCCACCATCTCAGCCTAGAGGCATTGGAACTTTATGTGAGCTATACTAAGACCTATATTATTCGTGTGTTCTATGACTCATTTATGTAAAATATATGTAATGTTCCCCTCAAAAAAAAAAATATATGTAATGTTCAAACATCGCAACGTTCAGTCTAGAGATTGTGCCGAGGAGCGACTCTGTTTTATGGCAAATTTTGGTTAGATCATGATTGTCTACGCATGTTGTTTTATGGCAAATTTTGGTTAGACCATGATTGTCTACACGTGCATGGGTGCGCACAAATCACTAGTATCATTTAAAAGCTAGACTGAAATGCCTTCTTTTGTGGCCATTCTATGTATTTTATAATATTGAGAATTTTTTTTGAGTGATTACTTATTTGATTTAACTTTTTGTGGATGCCATACATGACTGTTTTTGCATAGCCTTTTTGTTAGACTCAAAACCACAAAAAATGCTTGCACTTATGTTTTGAGCATATTACATGACATTACGTTGTAAATTTGACCGGTATTCATGTTGAACCAAAAAGATGAAATTCTTGACCAACCTATTTAGTGGTAGGTTAGTGTGTTCATGCAACAACATAAAAAAATATCAATATTACTCACATTTATTTTCATATTTTTGTTTTTTATTTTTTAGTTTTTTCTTCTGTGTTGTTCTTGTGATTTGGCATCTAGAGTGTTTTGAGTTCGGCCTAATAAATTTTGATAACAGGTTCTGGCATCGAACTTATCTTTTTAATTGCTTACTCATTGCTACTTGGTTCTCAAGTGATGATCACAATGTGATTGCCTAACAGCCTTGACGACACCTAGGTGCGATGACCGTGATGCCTATGAATAGGAAGGTCCACATGTACATGTTTCTTTGTAACATTTAGACTATAACATTATTTTGTGTTACTACAGGGCATATATTTGTAACACATTTTATTTGTTCCATTTATGTGTTATAAAATAGTACACTTTTATAACATTTTGCTTGTAACATTAATTTTGTGTTACTATAATTATTGTCAGTAACACATTTTTATAAAAAAGATGTTTTGTATTACAACCGAAGTCTGTAACACACTATTTTGTGTTACTATGAGATTTCACCGGAACAAATCGATGAATATGTTATAAGAAAGTGCTACAGTATCCTTGTTTTGTAGTAGTGTATATGGCTATATGCACTGCAATAAAAAACAAACAAACATTACTATCGTACTAGATATATGCGCCACAAACTTTAACCCTTTTGTTATCGACAAATGATCTTCATAACTTTATTGAAATCATCCTTTTACATTACATGTACTCATTCATGGGTTGAAGAAACACAATAGCTGTTAAAAAATGACGACTTGCCTCACATTTTCTATCATCACATGCCCAAATCGAAGAAAAAGGTAAACGACGCATTGAACCACAAAGATGGATTTGAGAGGTCAGTACTACAAAGTTTTCTTATGCATATGTGCTCATCATCACAAAAAACATAGCACTGGTCATTATTTGAATTTAAAGAGGAAACCGTCCTATCTAGTACTATCCATGTCTTTGGTCTTCAATTATTGCTAGCTGTTCTGTCGTGAGAACAGAACACACTGGATTCCATTGCTTTTGGTCTATTCATTCACATCTCTGTGACAGAAGTTGAGCCCTTAATTGGCCCCAGTGCATGTGTACAATATCACGAGTGCAAATGAGCGGATGCAAAATAGCATGGACCTTTGCTTACAAAACCAAAAAGGGGCGACAGGTCAGGAAGAATATGCTTTTGGAAACAAGTTTCAGAAGCAGCTTATGATGTGTTGTTATGCAATGTTCTCTCAAGAAACAATTAAAAGTTGGCAAAATCTAAAGCAAAAGATGGGCTTTTGGTCAATAGGTCAGAGCACTACTGCTACATAATGTGTGTAGTGTAGGTCGTTGTCCCTACTAGCATTTTCTGCTTGTGAGAACAGATTCTCATGGGTCCAAGTTGCTATCTGAAAACAGGGGCAGAATCTGGAAGATTTTCAGAAGCTTCCAAATGAGTTGTAATTGCTCTTTGAAATGAGTTTGCAGACATTATTGATAATTGACATGGATGGAAATGTACTGGTGACTTGCTGTTCGTGATGCCCACATCCATATTTATGATGTCCATATAACAGAAATGTGTCAGTTTCACATGTTCCGCTCCTGAATATTTTGCCTACTGCAAAACGTCATGCATATGTCATCTTGCGACATCATCCCATTTGGAAATTTCTAAGGGTACCCTGGAATTAAGGATGGAAACACCCTTTTCCAAATCATTTCCGGACGCAATCGTCATTTAAAATACTGAAACCGCGAACGGGACAACGGTCACAAAAACGAGCCGACCCTTGACCGAATCCCCGCCACGCGTGGGGGCGCGAGGAAAGTTGGACTTACAAAGAGACCAAGCGCACAGTCGCAGAATGATAGCTAAAATCCTAAGGAAGGGGGACGTGCAAGTACGAAAGTAGTTTCGCTATCCCTTCTTCGGTCTTCAGAGACATTCGACCCCATCAAACCGCAAGGGGTGGGATCTCACTCGGGTACTGATAATGGTATAAATACCTCCTTTTTCGAAATAGTCGCTGCGTTGGACCTCTTCCTCACTTTAAAATTAGTGGCAAGGTTTGTGGGAACAAATAACCGAGCGTGCCTGGTCAGACTGCAAAAAAACCCACACCCCGACGGCTACGGTAACTTTGGTCACCAGCATAATCGAAGTTTTCCTCTTATACACCTAGGGCCCTACGGTCTTAACAAATGGAAGGGTTGGATTGCATGAGCCCCTTTTTCAAAAACAAAAAGGGGAAGAAAACGAGTTCAATCAAACTACAAATTTATTTAACGAAACGAAATTACGAATATGTTCTTGAGATACAAAAGTGCCAACACTTGTCCACAAATTAAAAACAGTGTCCATCAGACCTATTTGACTAACTACCCCCTCCGGGGAGAACCATGTCTTCAACTTTGCTCGCCAGGGTTGCCACAACAGGAGTCACCACCGCTTCTATCTCATCCAGTTCGGAGGCTTCATAGCCAGGCGCGAAACCGAGGCTCATCGCCTCCAAGTCGATGCTTTCATCGTAATGCGAGCGGGCGATGGCGAAGGCTTGGGTGATCCCCGAGCGAAGTGCTTCCTTCTCCAGCTGACGCACCCACATCGTAATATCTACGGCATGGGCCGCAAGCGAGCTGGTCCCCTCTGCCTGCACCACCTGTAGGTCATCGCAGATTACGCCAAGGGCAACCTTCAAGACATCGAGCTCGTCGCTCTCTGCCTGAAGAAGACTCCTCGCCTCGGCGAGATCCGTGGCCAGTCCAGCAGTGGCGCCCTCGGCCTCCAGCTTCTAGGCTTTCGCGGTTCCAAGCTCGGCCTGGAGGGAGCTTGAAAGCATCTAGGCCCCTTGTTGGGTTTCGATGATTAACGACGATACAAGATTACTATAACTAATGTGTGTTTTGTAGAGGCAATTAAGTTAGGTCATGGTAATGGAGATCGATTGGACAATCATGGATGTCATGCCCCTACGATGGAAATCGTTTCGGTTTTCGAAGGATGGACGACAAGGTTAAGGATGACTAGTTCTAAGTGTCGATTGGAGTTGGAGAGACACTTAGAGTAGTTTAGGACTTTGTTTTTCCTTTGGCCGTACTATTAAGGGGGGTATGGACGGGTAGCTTGACCTAGGTGAGTCTAGTGAGTTAGGTGTGGTGCACACTTGTTGTAACTAGCACTAGGTAGCTCCTACATATGCCTAAGATCCTTTGGAGCAAACTTCATTCACGTATGATCGAGAGTTGGAAGTGAATGGAGGGTTAAATACTGACCGGACGCTGGCTCCGGTGCGACCGGACGCTGGCCGTAGGGTCCGATCAGTTCATTTGACCAAGGAGATTGAGTCTGGTGCGACCGGACGCTGGGGACCAGCGTCTGGTCGACTCCAGTAAGGTTCCAGAAGAGTGAATCTGCGACCGGACACGTCCGGTCGATTCTGACCGGACCTTGAGGATCCAGCGTCCGGTCGAGTACAGTAAGCATCCAGTGAGGGAAAAATGGGACTGGACGCGTTCGGTCAGTGGTGATCGGACCCTACCAGCGTCCGGTCAACACTTAAACACTGGTGTGCGGGTTGAATTGACCAGAGCGTCCGATCAACATGACCGGAGCGTCCGGTCACCCCGCAGAGGCACATAACGGTTTGTTTTTCAGGCTGTCTTATAAATAGAAGCTCCACTCGTGTGTGGAGTCACTTTTGCTCATTCCAACAGCTGAGAAACACGTTTGTGAATGCCAAGAAGAGCAAGGTCCTAGTGAGGTGTTAGTGATTTGAGAATCCAAAAGAGTAGCCTCATTAGTGAATCAAGAGTAGCAAAGTGTGCATCCACCGTTCTCATTAGGCTTCGTGTGGTCAAGTGAGAGTTCGTGCTTGTTACTCTTGGTGATTGCCATCACCTAGACGGCTTGGTGGTGATTGGGAGCTTGGTGATCACCCAGCGGAGCTTGTGGGTGACCCAACTCAAGTTGTGAGCGGTTCTGGGTGATTCACCGCGACGGAGTGTCGAAGAATCAACCCGTAGAGAGCACTTGATCCTTGCACGGATCAAGGGGGAGCTACACCCTTGCGTGGGTGCTCCAACGAGGACTAGTGGGGAGTGGCGACTCTCCAATACCTCTGCAAAACATCGCCGCGTTTCCTCTCCTCTCTTTACTTTGAGCATTTACCTTGAGCATTACTTTGAGCAATTCAATTCTTGTCTTTTACATTCATAGAATTACCATGCTAGAGTAGGATTGGAACTTAGGTTGCAAGTCTATTTGTGCGATAGAACATTAGAAACACTTTCTAGGCACAAGGGGTTAATTGGGCTAACCATAGGATTT